CCCTAAACCCTAAACATTAAAACCTGAACCCTATACCCTAAGACCTTGTTCGGAGCATGCTCTTGCCGTCTTCTGATTGCGCACTGACATTTTCGGGCCTCGGCTGAAGAACGGCAGACGAGGCAATGCTGGCAGTCATCAAGTCTGGTTTCAAAAGGGTTCAGGGTTTAGGGTTCAGGGTTTTAGGCTTCAGAGAGACCTCGTTCAAGAAAGGGTTTAGGGTTCAGGGTTCCGAGCGCCCAAAATTTCTTAGTGGCTGGGTATGTAACCATTAACCTTTTGGGGCTTGTATAATCCTACTATAATTCAAGAGATTAACCTTGTTTGGGCTGAGGTAAACCCTAAACCCTAAACCCTAAACCCTAAGCTTTTATAATCTTGTTTGGGCTAGGGTACTCAGCCCCTAAGATTTTCTGGCCCTCAAAGCTTGGGGTCTCAAGCGGCATCCTTCCGGGCTTGGAGTTTAGGGGTTTAGGGTTTAGGGTTTAGGGTTTAGTGTTTAGGGTTTAGGGTTTAGGGTTTAGGGGTTTAGGGGTTTAGGGTTTGAGTTTAGGGTCCAGGGCTTAGGAGGGGTCTTAATACTTAGATAGCCAATGGGAGAGCTTTAAACTTCTTGGCCTTATGTATTAGGTCTATGCTAAAAAGTTTGAACTTTTTTGGGCCTGGTTGTTGAAGAAGAGAAAAGAATAATTAGAGTAGGGTTTTGGTTCATATCATACTATAATTATGATAAGGACCCCCCAAAACAGTACAGGGGTTTGGGGGAATATTCTACTATAATTATAATGAGGATCCCCCAAAACGGTGTAGGTAATTACTTAGGCCCCTACATTGTATGCAATCGCCCCCCCGGCAAGTGACAGCTCGGGCAGTAGAGTGCGCACTTGCGACCGTCCAATCCGCCACAGCGAAATCCTTTCAAGTGTCAAGTCAGAGCACGTCGACATTCAACCCTAAACCCTAAACCCTAAACCGTGGCTCGTTCCTGAGTTTCTGGTTCGGGTTCTTCGAGTTTAGGAGAGTCCTAAGCAACTCTCCCAGGTGCCTGGCAGCAAAGGCTCTGGGGATGTGGTAAAGGCAGCCACAGGCAGGATGAGGGTCCCTTTTGAGCTCCCCAATTCAGTACGGCACCCTTATAAAATGGACCCTAAAAGGGACACTACTTTAGAGAACTGCCCATACTTTTTTTGGCTCCGGTTTTGGCGGGAACAACCTTGAACCCTGGACCCGCAGGGTGCGGGATTTCTCGACCGGGGTGCTGTTGGGGTTGGAGGGGGGGGGGGTCTTGAGGCTTGCGGGTTCACGGGTTCGGATTTAGGCGCGGTGCGTTTTGGGTTCATACTGTCGAGGCCTGAAGATCCATCCCATATCCAGGCCCTAAACCCTAAACTCTGAGCCCCCAAACCCTAAACCCTAAACCCTGAACGGAAAAAGGCGTTCAAACAAAAAACCCTAAACTCTGATCCCCTAAACCATAAACCCTAAACGGCAAAAAGGCGTTCCCCCTAAACTCTGAGCCCCTAAGCCCTAAACCCTAAGCCCTAAACGGAAAAAGGTGTTCAACAAGAAAACCCTAAACTCTGAGCCCCTAGCCCAAGCAGCTGGTCAGACTCAGAGAGCCCAATATCCCTTAATTAAGGAAGATAGCTTAAAGCATAATATGAAGTCCCTTATAATTTAAACTATACTCCTAAATTAAGGGATATTGGGCTCTCTGGGGATATCCGGAGCCATTCTCCTTGCAGGTGCCCCTTCGGCCACTGAGTACGATTCACTCACAGCAAACCTGCAGTCTATGTTCGCAGAGAAGGACGCAGACGTTTCAATTTAGGGTTTAGGGTTTTAGGGGTTTTATGGTTT